AAAGTAAAAAATCATCTCAGTATTTAGCAAATTGGCTATGAAAATTTTGACCGTTCGTGACCGAACCCATCCCTAGTGGGGATATGCCACTTTTCGACATAATTTTGTTTTTCTTTATTTGTATGTATGTTGTTCAAAATTTTCATTTATATTTCTGATATTAACAGAAAAATAATATACTGATATATACGTAGCTAATCTATGATTCAAAATTTTTTTATACAAAACTGTACTTTGTATCCTAACAAATAAATTATGCATTTATGATAAGCTAAGATCCCGAGGCTCATATAAATACTGACACCTGAGGCAAATTTAGTCAAAATAATAACGATAACAGAAAAAAAAATACTATCATACAATATTTGAGGTAAAATTTGTCTTTTTACTCAGATTAGTTACATGATATAAATATAAGTTAAGGTGCAGTAGTCACGTGATTATCACATGTGGGACCCACGGTCTCACATGTGACTAAAGTGGTTTTCTATAGTTTGGATTTGTGTAGCAGTAAGCTTCGATGATTCGTTTTATTTTATTTATTCCAATCTTTTGGAATAACTTGTAAATCTTTATGGCCCTTTGTGTTTTTTTACACAAATTATTCTTCGCATTTCCCGGAATAAGATGTTGTGTTATTTCATTATAAACCCGGTTCCTAGCAGTTTGATCACTAACCCCCTCTCATTTTTCACAATATCATCGATTCTCTCCTCATATCCTTTCCCATAATGGTACCAACATGAAATTTCCTCTTGATTTGCCTTCATCACACGCGTTTCTGCGCTACATGCTTTTTGGTATAAACAAACTAAATTTTTTGATATAGAATTCTCAAAACCCTCTACAAAATCATCATTAATTTCGGCAAACTCCCCCTTAATGGGCGTAGATAATTCCTTCAACAAACCTTGCAATGTATCCTGCTCATGGAAAATTTTTGGAGACGATTGTCTTAATTGGGTTTGTGTATGACTTTCAGTGTTTTCATCTAGAGAGGTTTGACCTTCTGACCGAACTTGTGAAGTGACAATAGTATTTCTTTCATCTGTAATAGAGCTTCTCGCCTGGTCTTGCATGGAAGGTTTATCTACCTGTTTCTCTTAACCCGCAATAGGTCTATCATCCTCAATTCCCTCATATACTCCAAAACATTATCATCATTCTCTATAGTATCTGTACTTACCTGTGATGCTTTGTTTACAGAGTCATAGTCTTTGCGTACTAGATGGAATTCACCAGAAGCATGTGCAAATTCTTCTCTAATTGTTTCAATAGATTCGGGGCAAACTGGGCATTTGGGGCTTTGTGATTCTGTGCGTATAATATGTTTTTCAAGGCAGGTTCGGTGGAGTATATGATCACAAGATAATATTGTGAATGCTTGGGGTGGGTGTGTTAGAATTTCTCCTTTGCAAATATGACATGGATTTAGCTTTGGAATATTCTTAGCATCAGGGATTTTAGATATATTTTCATTTCTTAGGTAATTTAATGAAAGCACTTTGAGTTGGAAAGCATTAACACTGTATAATCATCTGTTGAACTTGGCAAAGCTTCGCTGGCCATATCAGTAAATTTGAATAGGACTCAATTATTAAAACTCTGAAAGTTAAGTATGGTTCATTTTATATATAGACACTTCCACGACTAAAAAAAATAATTTTCAAATTTTATAAAAACTAATTTCGAATTTGATGATCCGTTTATTAAGAATTATTTAGTATAAACCAAGAACTGGTCGATTTACTGGCAATCGTGAGCGATTCACAAATTATCAATTTTCAAACTAATTTCAGATTTGATGATCTGTTAATTCACGAATTATTTAGTATGAGCCAAGGACCGATTGATCTACTGGCAATCGTGAATGATTTACAAATTAGTAATATGTTAACCAGATGAAATAAAGCAATGATAATTCGATTTGGACAGAAAACCCAAAATCACTCAATCTACTGGCAATTCTCAAGTTTATTAGCATTTTGATAATACCGATCTTGGGCACGTTTCATTAATGTGCCACCTGGATGATAAAGCTATTTCCTCACTGTGCACTGGATTATTTTAGCTGAATTTATTCATTTTTTCCATAAACGATATGCTCGCTGGATGATAATAGCCGGTCGAGTTTTTATATACAAAGTTTTAAAATATGCT